GTATATCTTTGACCTGGAATAACTCTATAGACCAGGCTTTCCTTGAACTCTCAGAGATCTGCCTGTCTCTGCCTCCCAGGCATTGGCATTATGGCGTGTGCTATCACACCTTGAAGTCACAGAGGTCAATCTCCCTCTGCCTTTCAAGTGTTGGGATTAAAGGTGTGTCCTTCCACACCCAACTACTCTCTTCCTTTTTTTACTTTTAAGAACTTTTAGCTTGCATATATTTTTAACACACTATAAATTATTTAAAGTTTTTTTTTGTTTTTGAATCTCTCTTTTTCTGACCACATGAGCCTTTAAATTACTGAGCAATATGGGTAGGATTAAAGCCGTGGCTTTGCCAGCTAGATCCAGTCCATTCCTTAGCTTTCCAACCTCATGGTGGAGATACAGGCTGTAGCCATGTTTATAGCCACAACCCTATGGCATTTCAAGGTCCCTGCCAGCAAGCGAGCTGCAACCGGCAACACTCAAGTCCTCTCTCTGTAGTCGGCCCTCCTGCCTCAAACAGTCAGAGTTTGCCCTGGCCGGATGGCCCAGAAAGCCAGGATTTTTAAATGGTGCAGCTTTTTTCCTGCTACTGCTGAAAACCAAAAAGCATGCAGTCAGCTTTTATCAACACCATTTAAGTGTTTCGTGGCAGGACCTCTTAATAAGCTGCAGGGTTTTGCAGCTAAAGCTGAGTCAGGAAGCCTCTCTTAGATGAGAGCACTTGCTTGCCTCTAGCAAGCAGAGTAGACCTGAGAAATTGCTGCTACCAAGAAAACATGCTTTACTCTATTCTTTCCCAAGATTTCTCAAGCTTTCTTTGGATTCAGTTGTCTACACGTCTGGGCGCCATTCTGTTGTAGGAGCTGCGGGCTGTGTTCCCAGGGATTGAACCCAGGTTCGCCAGTGCAGCAACAAAAGTGCCTTTGCCTGCTGAGCCATCTCACTGGCCCTTTTTGGTTTTGCGTGGTTCTTGTTTGCAGTGTTGGGATCAAATGCAATGCTTGTGCATGGTAGGGAAGCATAAACATGCTGTTTGCTATTGCTGTTGTTTCTTTGGGGTTTTGTTTTGGTTTTTGGAGACAGGGTTTCTTTATGTAGCTTTGGCTGTCCTAGACCAGGCTAACCTTGAACTCACAGAGATCCACTTACTTCTGCCTCCAGAGGCCTGGGATTAAAGTTGTGTGCCACTACCACCAAGTTAAATATGTATTCAACATGGTTTAGTAGCCTAGGGTTTTTGTTGGTTTACCTTGGTTTGGTTATGTGAGACAGGGTTTCACACTGTAGCCCAGGCTAACCTGGAAGGGTTGGCATTGGACTCCTATGTCTTTCTGCCTTAGCAGGTGGGTGCTGGGAACTGAACCTGCATCCTCTGCAAGAGCAGCCAATGCTCTTAACTACTGAGACATCTCTCCCTGGTACATTTTTTAATGTATTCAGATAATGGAATACAACATTGCAGAGAAAACTACAATTTTATATTATATGATATGGACTGTAGAAATATAATGTTGAAAGAGTAGCCATGTAATGAAGCATACAAAATTCAAAACCATGTAAAAAAATTACACCGTCGACTGGGGTGTATCTTAGTGGCAGAGTGTGTGCTTGCTCAATGTTCTTTTTTTTAAAAATATTTATTTATTTATTATGTATACAATATTCTGTCTGTATGCCTGAAGGCCAGAAGAGGGCGCCAGACCTCTTTACAGGTGGTTGTGAGCCACCATGTGGTTGCTGGGAATTGAACTCAGGACCTTTGGAAGAGCAGGCAATGCTCTTAACCACTGAGCCATCTCTCCAGCTCCTTGCTCAATGTTCTTGCCTCAAACCTCAGGACCAAAAATCAAATCAAATCAAATCTAACTCCAGTGGGGCATGGCGGCATGCACCTGTAATTCCAGTACTTGGGGTGGAGGCAGAGGGATCAGGAGTTCAGAGTCAGCCTTATCTACAGCAGGATCCTGAAGCCAGAAGACTCCACTTGCCATCATCTCAGACAGATGAGCAAACTATGTATCTACTGTGAGCACTCAGGATTACTTGGGAGGATCCCGAATTTGAGGCTATATATTGACACTGTCTCAAACCTTTTCCCCCAAAGCACACTGTTGAGGGGGAAAAAAATGCTATTTACATAAAGAGAATGGAAGAGCTGAGGATGTAGCTTAGTGGTTAAAGAGCTGGCCTTGCATGTGCAAGACCTTGAGTTCAATTCCCAGTACTCAAAACAAACCACACTTTAAAATGACTTTTAGGGGGCTGGAGGAACTCTGGCTCGAGCATTCAAATGGCTCGAGGAACTCTGGAAGTCACCAGTGCTGCTTGGGGTTCTGCTTCTTGAGTTAGGTGGCATAGTCATAGGTGTTTTTTTTTTTTTTTAATATATGTTCAGCTCAAAATTAATGGCATTATGGTTGAATCGGCAGTTACTTGAGAGTTTATGTTCTTCATGTGTCATACACATGTATTCTGTTTATCTCATTTTGCTTTTCTTTGGGATAGAGGGGAGTAGGTTTCTGCAAAAAACAGCAATCCTAAAGCATTGATTGTGCTAATGTGCAATTATTTCCCCTGCTCTGGAGATGGGTGCTTTCTGCTCAACATTCCTAAGAAACTTTAAAACAGTATCAGATTCAAAATCGGTTCAAGGATGACAGAACTTGGATTTATGATGCTGCAAACCAGAGCTGTGCTTTTTAGTTAACATGATGCTGAAGATAACCTTGTCGTAATTTTTTAAAAATGGTTTATTTCATGTGCATTGGTGTGAAGGTGTCAGATCCCCTCAAACTGGAGTTACAGACAGCTGTGAGCTGCCATGTGGTTGCTCCTTTTTGGTCTGGGTGACATTAGTTTCTTTTACAAATTTACAAGTGGAGCTCGATAGTAGAGCACCCACCTAGTATGAACAATGGTCTGGATTCTATCAACAGCTTGATAAACAAAAAGTAAGCTTGAGATCAAATAGCTCTTTAAAACTGTTTCTAAGGGGCTGGAGAGATGACTCAGCGGTTAAAAGTACTGGCTGCTCTTCCAGAGTTCCCGAGATCCCAGAACCCACATGGTAGCTCACAACCATCCACAATAAGATCTGGTGCTTTCCGCTGACCTGCAGGTAGAACACTGAATACATAATAAATAATTTAAAAGAGAACTGTTTTTAAACTTATTTTATGTGTTTGGGTGTTTTGCATGCATATATGTCTGGGCACTATGTATAAGATCCCCTGGGACTGGGGACTGGAGTTACAGACAGTTGTGACCTGGGTGCTGGGAATCGATCTTGATTTCCTCGATTCGATTTAAGTGTTGTGTGCTTGTGGATGCTTGCTTGCGTGTTTGCCTGGAAGGCTAGTCTGGCCGGTCGGTCAGCGGGTCCCAAAGATGCTTCTGTCTCCATCTCTCCAGTGCTGGCATGACTAACATGACGCCGGGCTTTTTACTAACCCGGGTCCTAGCACTTTACCGTCTGGTCTTGAACTCCTGATCCTTCTGCTTCCACCTTCAGAGGCCGAGGTTTCAGGTGCTCGCCAGCATGACAGGATTCTTCTGGAGGAAGGCTTTGAGGAACGCAGCCACTGACTGGCTCGTAGCTGCCCCGGTCTATTAGGCACGCTTCCCAAAGGCTAGGGCCGGCGGGGCCTTCCTAGGCGAGTGCCACGCTCCCCTCAGGTGGGCCCCGATTGGCTGGAGGCTGCCTCTCCAAGGCGACTTCCGGGGTGGGCCGGCGGCCGTGGCTTCCGGCGGCAGGCGCTGCGCTCACGCTGCTTTGGCCCGATGGCGGCCCCGCTGCTTCACACGAGTTTGCCGGGAGATGTGGCGGTTGCGGCCTCTGGCACGCTGGGCGCGCCGCGGACTGGGTAAGATCCGGGCGGCCTCCCCCTGCGTGTCCCGGCTCGAGCCGGCCGTGAGCGCTCGGGGCGTCCCGAGGACTGAGGGGGGGGGCGACGGGTGGGAGCGTCCCGAGGCCTGAGAGCGCCGGGCCCGCGGGCTCGGCCCTGGTGCGCCGCAGCCTCGCGTTCCCTCCGTGAGGGCGAAGGCGCTGTTAGTCAGCCTTGTCTGTTCCATTGTCTTCCGCTTGAACTCCTGGGACGCCCTTGTGGGACTCTAGGCCCGTCGTCTGCGGTTTCTCTCCCCCCCCCCCCCTTAGCCTAGATGTGGACCGCATTCCCTGAGTTGGGATTTCTGGGTGAATGCTGTCAGTGGTGACAAACTGAATTCTAAACTTTGAAGTTTGTTTCTGTAGAAGTGAGCAGCAGACCCAGTTGTCCTTATCCAAGCAACATTTTTTAGGTTTTTGTATGACTTTGTAAGTGAAGGAAACGTTGTAAAGCACTTAGCATAATGACAATTACTTCTGAAGTGTGGACACTGGGGACAATAACTCATCCAGAGACGAACGTTCTCGGGCTCAACAGCTGGACAGGGACAGCAGTAAATGAACAGTTAGAGCTGTGGAGAACTAAATACTGCAGCAGTTCTGGTGGAGAAAGCCTCTAATATTTGCGCCTCAACCTTGTATGTATTTGGGAAGAGTGTTTCTAAAGAGTAGCAAGTGAAATGGGAACCAGCTTGACAAGTTTGAAGAAGAAAGACACCGTGCTTCTTTCTAACAAATGCTTCTACCTCGAGATCAGAGTTAGACAAGGGCCCTCCCTGTTAAATGGGATCTTACAGGATTAATGCAGGAATTTGGAGTCTTTCTTTTTTTTTTTCCTTCCCTTTCTCTTAAAATAAATTTTGAGATTAAAATCTCACTAGGCCTAGGTTGTCCCTGAACTTCTGGATTCTGCCTCAGCCTCCCAAGTGTTGGTTTTTCGAGCATGTAGTATTTTCCCTTTAGGAGTTTGAGTTTGGATTGTTATTCCAAGTCCCATGAGAAGACAGTTGCTGAGTGAAGAACGAAAGGTGAGGATAAGATTGGAAACATGGATAGCATTTAAAAATGACGTTGGTTCAGTCATGTTCGCTGTTATTCTGTGTCATGCATTTAATACCTGGTACTTCTGGTTCTTCAGGCTTTCGGATATGCTTGCATTAGAGAGTGATTTCTTCAATTCTCCCCCAAGAAAAACTGTTCGGTTTGGTGGAACTGTGACAGAAGTCTTACTGAAATACAAAAAGGTATGAGTAAAAAAAAAAAAAAAAAAAAAAAAAAAAGAAAAAAAAAAAAAAAGGGGGATTATGTGCTTATATGAGAAGATTGGTATTTGTGGTTTACTGTTTTTGGTTTTTCGAGACAGGGTTTCTCTGTGGTTTTGGAGCCTGTCCTGAAACTGGCTCTTGTAGACCAGGCTGGTCTTGAACTCACAGAGATCCACCTGCCTCTGCCTCCCAAGTGCTGGGATTAAAGGCGTGCGCCACCACCACCCGGCTTGCTACTTCATAACTGTAATTTTGCTACTGTTAAGAATAGTAATGTAAGCCAGGCGGTGGTGGCACATGCTTTTAATCCCAACACCCAGGACGCAGAGGCAGGTGGATTTCTGTGAGTTTGAGGCCACCCTGGTCTACAAGAGCCAGTTCCAGGACAGGTTCCAAAGCTACAGAGAAACCCTGTCTGGAAAAATTGAAAAAGAAAGAAAGAAAAAAGAGTAACAATGTAAATATCTATGTTTTCTGTTGGTGTAGGTGACCCCTGTGAAAGGGCCATTCGACTCCCTGAAGGGGTTGAGAACCCCTGGTCTGGAAAGATAAGGAATGGAGGGAGGAAGTATTTTTAGACGCCATATTAAAGTAGAATATTTAGTGATATGCATGATAGTGTCAGAGTAGTCAAAATGCATTTGCTGAAGTTTTATGCTTTACAGTGTAGTTCTAGCTGTCCTGCAACTCATTTTGTAGCCCAGGCTGGCCTTAAACTCACAGAGATCCACCTACCTCTGCCTCTTGAGTGCTGGGATTAAAGGCATGTGCCACCACCACCTGGCTTATTTATTTTTAAAATTATTTATTTGTATTTTATGTACATTGATGTTTTGCCTGCATGTATGTCTCTATGAGGGTGTCGGATCCCCTGGAACAGTAACTATAGACAGTTATGAGCTGCCATGTCGGTGCTGGGAATTGAACCCAGGTCCTCTGGAAGAGCAGCCAGTGCTCTTAACTGCTGAATCATCTCTCCAGCCCCTAATTATTTATTTTTGGGATACTCTTGCTCCAGTCTTCTTGCCTCAAGCCTGGAATTACATAATCCCATTAAAAGTTTTAATCCCTTTGAGACAGGATCTTACTGAATAAATAGCTCTGTCTGGCCTGGAACTGCTTTGTACACTAAGCTGGTCTTGACCTCCCAGAGATCCTCCCGCCTCTCCCTTTTTACTGTGCACCCCTATGCCTGGCTCTATTAAACCATTTTATCTCTTAAGGAGTTACCTAAGCTTCACTTTAGAAGAATAAGCTAGAGATCTTTGGTTTTGTGTTGTCTAAGTGGTTCCTCTAGATCTCATCACTAAAGATATAACATGAATGATTGTGTTTTATAATTCCTACTCATACATATGAATAGATGCTGTCTTAATTCTTGCTGACATATCACAATGTTTTTTATCTCCTATTTAGAGAATTTTCACTAGTATCTGATGTAGTAAAGTGTCCATCCCCTGGTTAGTTGAATATGAGTGACTGTTGACTCTTCTGTTGTTGTAGACTTCTGATGCAGCAAGTTTCTTGCTGCCTTAGTTGTTTGTTTGCAGTGTTAGGGATTGAGCCTAGGATAAGCCCATGAGCTCTAGCTGCAGCCCTTTTGTTTTTTTACTTTTTTTTTTTTTAAAGAATTTATTTATTATGTATACACTGTTTTGCCTGTATATGTCCCTGCAGGGCAGAAGGGGGCACCAGATCTCATTAATGGTGCTTGTGAGCCACAATGTTGGTGCTGGGAATTGAACTCAGGACCTTTGGAAGAGCAGTCAGTGCTCTTAACTTCTGAGCCATCTCTCCAGCCCTGTTTGTTTTTTTACTTTTTATATTGAGATGGGGTTGCCCAGACGGGTGGCCTTGGGCTTGTTATCTGAATATTTGGGATTTTGAGTATATAAAATGACCAGGACTGCCTTTAATAAGAATTCTTTTTTTTTTTTTTAAGCATAGTACAGTTTATTCTAGTAACAAAGCATTACATATGTTCACACAGGCAACAGTCCCCTTCAATGACTGGTTTCCTAACACACAGAATGTTATTCTACAGCCTCATTTTACTGACAAGTAGCATCACTGCTGTAAGAACTTGTTTGGACTGCTAAACTAAATTAAGAAAAAAGAGGTCAGCCTGAAGTGGAATTATATGGGCAGAGATTTTGCTCCATTTAAGCCAGGATACATGGGTGTGTCATTCTCAAAGCTACGACAATTTGGCTCCTGGAATTACAAAGCTCTCATTTGCTTTCACTGAGACACTGCCTCAAGAAAAATTTTAAAAATAATGCAGTTAAGCAGGGCGGTGGTGGCACACACCTTTAATCCCAGCACTCGGGAGGCAGAGGCAGGCGGATCTCTGTGAGTTCGAGACCAGCCTGGTCTACAAGAGCTATTTCCAGGACAGGCTCCAAAACCACAGAGAAACCCTGTCTTGAAAAACCAAAATAAATAAATAAATAAATAAATAAATAAATAAATAAATAAATAAATAAATAAAAAAATGCAGTTAAAACAGCTTAGGATTAAATAAGAATTCTTAAAAGTTGTATGGTTCTGACTTTATTATTGTAAGCGATATATAGAAGTTCTACAGGTCCTTTTGTAGTTCTCTGAGATATCAAGGAATAATAAAAACTCTGGCTGGGCGGTAGTGGTGCAAGCCTTAAATCCCAGCACTTGGGAGACAAAGGCAGGCATCTCAGTGAGTTCTAGACCAGCCTGATCTACAGAGTGAGTTCCAGAACAGCTAGGACTGAGAAACCTTGTCTTGAAAACTGAAACAAAATTCTGTTAATATTTAAAGGAAACCATAGTAATTGTACTTTAATTTCTTCTCTTTGTTTAGGGTGAAACAAATGACTTAGAGTTGTTGAAGAACCAGCTCTCAGACCCTGATATAAAGGTAATTTAAAAGCATTCTCTTTTATCTTTTTTTTTTGTTCTGGTCTGGTTTGGTTTGGGTTTTCGAGGCAGGGTTTCTCTGTGGCTTTGGAGCCTGTCTGGAGCTTGGCTATTTATCATATTTAATTGTGTATTTTGCACATGTGTGCATGCTACAGCAAGTGTGAAGGCCAGGGGACAATTTGTGGGAGTTGGCTCTGTCTTTCTACCATGTGAGCCTCTAGGATTGACCCCAGGTTGTAATATTTTTACCAATGATCCTTGTCTGTCGTCCAAGACTTGCTTTCTGTGATCCTATCTTACTTAACTCAATGTTTCTCAGCCAGGAGCAATCTTCCCCTCTAGCAGACATTTGACGATGACTGGGAACACTTTTAGTTGTCAGCAGTAGGAGGAAGGGGATACTCCTGGCATCTAGTGGTTGAATGACTGGACTTCCTGCCCTCTCCCCAGACTTGGTTACTTAAAGGGCAGACTACAGAGATAGCTAGTAGTTAAGAGCACTTAGTGTTCTTTTCTTTCTCTTTCTCTCTTTTTTTTGGAGCTTGTCCTGGAACTAGCTCTTGTAGACCAGGCTGGACTCACACAGATATCTATCTGCCTC